ATATATATATATATATATATATATATATATATAAATAAAACATATACATTTTTTGAAAGACAATATAGCCTTATCTACATATAAAATTAATGAGCGTAGGAACAATGCTCGGAAAATATATATGAATATATTATATTAGAGAGAAATATGTGATAGCTGAAGCATATTTTATAATCCTGATAACAATTGTTAATAACCACCAGCTGAAACCATCTAGAAGTTACAGGAGAAAAGAGGCACCAAATACTGTATTTCTGCATGGTTAAAGAAAAAACAAATGAGGGAAAAGCACAGGATATAATATAATAGAGATACCCAGAGGTGGAATGTAGGCTATCAAAATTTAAGTTACTCCATCAAAATTTTTGGAGGAGCACATTTTTACGGGGTGATGGATTTTTGAAGAAATTTCATATTTATAAACTGTCTAGACAAGGAAAAGGAAACGAAGGTAATTATGTTAGAAAGCGATTGTGAGGACTTCAGCCAGAGAATGAACTTTCTAATGATATTGATCATAAGGTTGAGGAAATAAAATTGATTTGAGTATTTCCACACTGATTTTTTAAAATTAATATTATTGTTAATTTTTTTAACTTATTATTTTTAATTGAAATTTTTTTTTTGCAATTTAATTTTCCCCATAAATTAGATTTATATTGGATTAATAAAAACTATAACAGTTTTATTTTTGAAGAATACATGATATCCAATCGAAAATTATGCTCAATGAATTTCGACCACCTAGCTCGGCAATCCGTGTGCCAGAGGAGGAATGGAAGGAAGACTTTTAACTCTGGCATTAATCCCACCTCACCCTTGGACCGAGAAAACCCCTGTATAAAGCCGAAAATGCCGGAGAAGGTAGAAGAAGAAAAAAATGCTTAAATAAAAAATTGGTTGTTAGAAATCAATAAGATTATTTTTAAAAATACATATATATTTTCAACCTCATTATATATATATATATTTATTTTTAGTTACATTTCCTTGGTTTATTATAGTTTTCGCCTTTCTTATATAGATTTTTATATTTTTTTTATTTATTTATTTTTTATTATTATTTATTTTTTATGGTATTGTATATATGGTATGAATGTGCCTCACTCAGCCTTAGTACTCAGTGCCCTTAAGTGTGGCAAAATGTATTATTTCTCAATAAACAGATAAAAAAAAAAAAAAATTATATTTTTATTTTCTGTAGTAAAGAAAACAAACTGCTAAGTATATTGTCACACTGTAACTCACTAAATATGATAAATTGAAAGGCACCGTTAACCGAATGTACAAATACACGCACAAGTTCAGATAAAGGGTGTTTTGTCAGTCAGACACTGCCTGGAGTTGTCTTCATCAGCAAGTCATCAATCTTAACCTGTCATCAGTTCCGCTCACTCACTCTTCAGAAATGAATGAAGATAATTCGTCAAGATGGAAGCACTTTATGATGCAGCGTAACAGAGAATATTATCTTCATTTTGAATCATAACAATCATAGAAAATTATTGTAATTTTTTTTAAAATATGGAATAAGAAGTAAAACGATACATCCGCAATGCCAATACTTAAACATTATAAATGATTTTTAAATATAAATAGTTGAAAAAAAAAGTATGGTTATTTAATAAATATTTCAAATTCCAGAAAAATCAACAGAAAAGCATCAATTATCAATTACACAAGTATCATCAATATATTAGTCACCAGTATAGAAAAAAGTTGTAGATTAAGATAAAATGAAGCCATTCAGGAAGTTTTGGATGGATGTAATAAAAAAGGGGTCTGTACAGTGCACCATATGGAGTAAAATTCAATTTATTAATTTAGAGTATGGCTCCAAATAGCAAAATTATTTGTACAGCAATGATTGGGTATACAATGCGGTGTTAAGTACGGCAATTAACCTATGGCAATTAGGTACTGATAACCAATAAACGTTTCACTAGTTCAGGCTAAAAACGGAATCATATAAATAAAGAACAGAGACAACATGTCTCACATCAGCAGTCTACAAAAAAGTCCACCGAATACAGGCAGTATATCGATCCAAGACTATTTAAGTCATCCTAAAGGAATGAAGGGGTAGAGGAGATTAGTGAAATAAGTTATTTGAGGCAGGAAAAATTATGTAAGTGCTTTTATGTAACTAATTGTAAGTATAATCATGTATGTATGGCATTACTAATGAAAAAACAGGAGAATTAAACTTTACTGTCGGTGAGTCAGTTGTTGATACCAAATAACGATTTTAAAAATTATTTCCGCTTTTTGGATTTTGGATATTTCCCAAAATCAAACAGGCTGTCGGATAGGATGTTGGGCGGTCATGATTATAGAATATACGTGTTATCAAGTTCCAAAGAGGCTCGTCACTAAACTGTCTTGAAACTTTTCAATTTTTTAATATGATTAAATTAAAAAACGTGGATGATAAATATTCAGGACGCAGCCATTATAAAATTTTTATTAGTGCCGACGTTTCAACCCAGTTATGTGGGTCATCATCAGTGCTCGAAGCCATGATGACCCACACGTTTGGGTTGAAACGTCGGAACCAATAAAAACTTTACGACCTGAATATTTATCACCCATGATATGTAGAACAGTCGACTAACTTCTTTCAATTAAATTTAAAAAAAACAATAATAATTAAGTATATATTTTTTCAAATAATAAATAATAAGTCAGGCAGCTTGAAACGTTAAAATAGATAAAATATTGAATACAATTTAAAATACAACTCAAGAGCAAAACTTGTTAAGATGAGAAGTATAGGTTTTTTTATTTCCATTGTACAAATTAAAACAGTTTTTAATTTAATAAATCAAAAGCATTGAAGCCGAAGGATTAAATTACTATCGCTAACCGTTTAGCTATCAATATTGAATTAATTTAATTAATGTTGATGCATCGATGAATATTCACTAATATAGGAGGTGGTATGCCATATATTCAGGCTCGCAGTCTGTGCTTTAGCGATAAGGATGAATCGATTATATTGTGCACACGTGTGGTCAGGAATATTTCCATTGAATATGTGCAACATGCAAATATGCAACTGATTTAAAATATATAATATTCAGCACTAATTTGGTGATTGATATATAAATACTTTATGGGTAAAATATTGTTCAATTGCGAATCAAATAAACAAAGTATATTTTTGAAAAATATAGTTAAACATGTCTGATCTAGAAATTTCTTAATTTAATTAAATTAAACCCGATGATGGTAATTGGAAGGCAGCAGCACTCGATAGAGAAAACTGTCCAATACTCTTTTCGTAGCATCCACAGATAGATTATTATTTTGCTATTGCAAGTTGAAATTTGGAAATTTTTGCTGAGGAATCGTCTGCAATTTCTTGATCATAATTTTGGTTTTAGGAAAGTTTAATAAAAATAGAAGGTTACTTAGTTTGAAATTTAACATGTTTGTAAATTGTGTAAGATTGCTAGATTGTACCTTAACAATTTGCCAGTTCAATTCGTTTGATGTTAAAAAAGTGGCCTTTTGAGGATTTCAACTTTCCTCCTCCCCCCCCCAATTCAGTCCATTCATTTATTGTTATTGATGGTTTTTAAAGTTAGCTATGAGAGAGACATTAAGCAGTGTAATTGAATTTAAAATATTTTTTAATTTCCTCAGAAAAGCAATAAAGAAACAATCAATTCACTACATTATCATTTGTTAAAAATTTGTAAGTGAATTGATCGGGTGTTGAGAATTTTTTTTGGCTCCTCTGCAGCATCGCCCAATTGATCTAGAGTGTTTAATTGATTTTGTAATTGAGTCGCTAATTTACATAGTTAACCATAATCGAACTTTTTAAAGAAATCGATATAAGTTTCGATATCAATATCAAGAAACCAAATGAATCCGATGGTGCAATATATTTATTTTTAATGATGTAGAGATGGTTGACCGTTGATATAATATGAGAAGGAGTTAGTCGAGGGTGCGGTCAAATAAATAAAAAAATTAAAATATATAAATTATTTTAATTTTTGCCGACGTTTCGACCCACTTTGCAGGTCGTCTTCAGGGCTACAAAAGATACAAACATGTTGAAAAAATAAAAATAAAATTTATTTGACCGCACCCTCGACTAACTCCTTCTCATATTTATTTTTAATTCAACTTAAATGTTAAATACAGTAATGTGAAAATAATTTTATCTTGTAATAAGTTTTTTTTTTTTTTTTTAAGAAATGTAACGATACCTGAGTTTATTCAAGATTTAAAAAAAAAAAAAATTAAAAACCCTTTTTCCGTTTTATTCATACAAATATTAAAAAAAAAAATTTGTAGCGTGCCATTATTGTAAAAGAAAGTAAATTGTTATAGTACATTTTAATAAAATTTTTCTATCCAAATTGAATCGCAATTGTCATCTTTTTTCTTCTTCTTTTTTTAGTTACTATTACAATTATCAAAAATGCTCGTAAACATGTGCAAATAAAGAATTTCTTATTTTTTTTTTTAATTGGCCTTGATATTATATTCAGAATAGGAAATATTGTTTTTCATGTCTGTTGAAAATTTTCAATAATGATTAGGGCTTACTTTGGAAATAATCAACTTAGTTAAATTCGATTTCAACAGGTAAGGATTTGTCAAAAAATAAATAAACTTATAATAAATTTTCGTCTCATTCCTGAATAGAAATACGACTTCAGTGACGTAACGGATCTGTGCGGCTCAGGTTTTATATTTTTTTTTTTTTAAGTAGATACACGTAAATGTTTTCAGTCGGAGATATCAATAAAAAATAATTAGCTGTTAACATTTTTTGTGGATGGTAGGAGGAAATTGGGGTTCATCTGTCTCCATATCTGTAGATCCTAAGATGGGGGCAATATTTATGATTTTGACGTTGATGACCCCAGGAGAGGATCGGCCTACTCCTTCCGACGTCCTTCAGCGGAGGTCCTGCAGTTAATTAAGGACTCACTAATTGTGGTGGAATCCCAAAGCGGGTGAGGTCGGCAGAGCCTTATATGCAAATGCCGCGGCTGAGGGCTGAGGAGTTAATAGACTCTTTAAGATGTGGTAGTGAACTGGAGATTGCGAGTGGTCCACCGGCCGTTGTGAAACCTCCATCCTCGCCCGTGGGAACCCTTTCTCGCCAATGGGAATTACCTCTCCCACACTGCCCTTCCACTCTTTGCAGGGGCATATTAATTGGCAAGGGGTCTCCTTCCTTAATCGATTAATGGGCTTCGATCCATTGTACCATTATCCTCAGCCAGTTTTGGTATGAAGGTTCTTAAATTTTATCCAATTGAGAAGTAAATGTGGGACGCGGTAAAGGTCAAAGTAAACCACGAAAAAGTTACATCCGTTGCAGAACAGCTTCAAACTACCGTGCATTACTGGTATTACACTGCGTCCTATAAACTACATTCGCTCATTATTGGGTCACACCTTTCAGAGTATACTACATATGTCTAGCAGAAAAAAAAAATAGTATCGACATAAATAAAATACATTTTAGCAATCATAAAGTTCAGAATTGATACCCATATTCAGATATTTTTTTATTGCAACATGTTTCACTTGTTTATACCCTTTTTTAAATCAGTATTAACTTTTTTCTTATAAAAAGGGAAATTACTGGATTGCCTCATCTGTATTTATAACTGAATTTTTTTATCGAATCCCGAGCCCATTTTTTTGCACCTTTTTTTTTTTAACTTTTTGCTAAATCTTAAGGGACATGGTAAGTCTTGAACCAGTGCATCGTTATTTATTTATTTTTCATGTAAGAACTTTTATTTCACAGTAGCATATGAATATGATGGATAGATATGATTTATGGAAGAACTTGATATAATATATTTCATATTGATTGATTATTTTAGTCATCGTTCGATGTAATCTGCTTACATTCCGTTGATTTGTCGAAGTAAGAGCTACTTTTTTTATAATTTAAGATTTGTATATTTTCAATTCTAAAGACACATTCCTTTTATCTGGTTAGGAGCATAAGGAATAGTTAGGGATAATTTTAATTGGTTTGTTACCAATTCAACCAGTTCTGAGAGAGTCAATTCTGAGATTTTGATTACAATTATTTTATAATACATAAATTATGTTTAAGAAACATGAGTAAAATTTCAACGACATTATTTTTCTCGCAAACTAAATCATCAAGGTGTTTTTTAAAAATAAATTTAGATAAGAAGTGGTTTTAAAATTAAGAGATAAATCACATATTTATTAATTATTATAATAATAACACATTTAAAAATATATTTCTCTAAAATATACTCAGTATAGGGAATGTTTATATTATTATATGATCTAATTTTTATTATTAATTAGTATTTTCTCAGGAATATAATCATAGCCACAAATTTTTAATTAACACATAATTTACCTTTAATTATTTTATTATGTTGTAATTTATTTATTTATTTATTTTATTTTATGCAATTTGCACCTGCGCAGCTGCGCATCTAGCAAATTTGTTGTATTTTTATTGTCTTGGTGTAATTGCTTGGTTTTTTTTTTTTTTTTTATTGATGTAGAAGGTCTCTTGGCCATTTTCTTCTTAATCTTCGTTGCTCAGGTAACAGGGAGCAGGAGATAGAAAGAACCAGAGGATTGGAGTGATTTTGGGTTGAAGAATGAAATGTAGTGTATTTGTCGTGGATGTAGGATTTTACTGTTGGGATGTTTAAGTCGGTATGTATAGTAATGTTTGAAATGTACCAAGGTGCGTTAACAATTTTTCGTAATATTTTTGATTGTGCTGTTTGTATTTTGTTTATGTGTGTTTGTTTTGCTGAACCCCAAAGTTCTGCTCCATATGTCCATATTGGTCTCAGTAAGGTGTTGTAGATAAGTCGCTTGTTTCGTAAGTTAAGTGAAGATCTGTAGTCCAGAAGATGTGAAAGTTGGCTATATCGTCTAGTAAGTTCTTGTCTTTTTAATTTCGTATGTATGTTCCAAGTAAGCCTTTTGTCTAAGTAGAGTCCAAGGTACCGTACATAGTTCTTTGAAGGCACTGGATTATTGGCAATCGTTATGGGTGGACATGAGGCTTTCCTAAGAGAGAAACTAATGTGGGTGGATTTTGTACTATTAATTTTGATTCTCCAGTTTTCAAACCAATTTTTCAAGAGAATGAAGATGGTTTTGTAGGGCAATTGATGCGATAGTAGGATTTTTGTGTGAAGATAGAATAGCAGTGTCGTCAGCGAAGCAATAAATGGTGGTATTAGGGTGCTCAGGGATGTCAGAAGTGTATATAGAATAGAGGATTGGGCTCAAGACGTTACCTTGTGGTACGCCTTTGTGTTGGGGAAAGAAGGAAGATACAGAAGAGTCTACGGAAATACAGAAAAATCTATTAAGAAAGTAGGATTGAAGAATTAAAAAATAAGTGGAAGGTAAGTGCGGTTTTAGTTTCCATAATAGGCCCTTGTGCCAGACACTATCAAATGCTTTCTCTATGTCGAGAAAGACGGCAGAGCAATATTCCTTTTTTTCAAAAGTCATAGAGATAGCATCTACTATCCGATGGCACTGTTGCACAGTAGAGTGATAACAGCGAAAGCCAAACTGGTGATTTGGTATCACTTCACTATTTTCTATAATAGGCTTTAGACGGTTTAGAAATAGTTTTTCAAATAGTTTGCCCATTATTGGAAGAAGTGCTATAGGACGATAGGATGAAGGAGAAGTGGTAGGTTTTGAAGGTTTGGGAATCATTTTGATTGTGGAGAGTTTCCAAAGGAGAGGAAAATAGGTAGTGCGTAAAATGGAGTTATAGATATGTGTAAGAAACAAAACAGCTTTTCGAGGTAGGTGTCGAAGAATGAAGGGAGTGATTAGATCATAGCCAGGAGCTTTTTTGTTTGGTAGTCTGTTGATTTCTTTGTAAATTTCTTTCGGATGAAATGCCGGTGGGGGTAGTGATAAGGGTAGTGGTGTTGTCAGTTCTTCTTCTATTGCGTCAGTAAAATTATTGTCCTGTATTCTGTTTGTCCCAAATACTTGTGCAAGATATTTAGCGAATTCATTGGCTTTTTCTTCGCTTGTTATTGCCCAAGTGTTGTCTGTACGTCGGAGAGGGTATTGAAGGTCTTTTTTCTTTAGTATACGTCTTGTTGTTGTCCATATTGATCCATTTCTATTGTTTATTGTGTCTATGTAGTCTTTATAGCTGTCATTTTTAAATTTTAATAGTTTTTCGTGAAGTTTTCTAGTTAGTTTGTTGAGTTCTGTTTTGTACGATGGATATCTAGTTCTTTGCCATAGGGCTCTAATCCTACGTTTTTCTTTTATAAGATTATGTATTGGCTGAGGTAGGTAAGAAGCAGGTTTAGTGTATGTCTTTGGTGGTCTCGTTGAATGCCAAATAGCCTCTTGTATACTTTTTGTTAGGTCGTTGACTGCATTGTCGAGGTCGTCAGCTGTACTAATTAAAGTGTTTAACGTAATTTTGTTGTTTAAAAAATGTTTAAAGTCGTCCCAGTTTATGTAACCGTTAATTAATGTCGGGGGTTTGGGTTTAACGAAAGGGTTGTTCGAAAGTTCAAGTAAAATTGGGCTATGATCAGATGAAAGGTCAAGGAGAGAGGAAACGTTGGAATGTGCATGTGGTAAGGAGCTTGTGACAAAGAAATCAAGAAGATCGGGAGACTTTGATAGTGAAGTAGGCCAGTAAGTAGGTTGAGATGGCGAAATTACAGAAAATTTCAAATCTTCAATACATTTTTGTAGTCTTTTTCCACGAGTATTGGACACTCTAGATCCCCACCTTGTGTTTTTTGCATTAAAATCTCCTCCTACAATGAATGATTTTCCCATTGTCGAGAAAATAGCCTTTAATTCATTCGTGGATATAACTTTATTGGGAGCTATATAGACTGAGGCAATCGTGAGTTGGAATTTTGAGGAGTTTAGAGAAATATTGGTGTATTGTAGGGAATTCGTAGAAGCAGCAGGAAGAATATGGTGATTTAAGGACTTGTCCACAATAATTGCTGTTCCTCCATGTGCTGTGTGGTCTGGATGGTCAGTTCTGTAAGTTTCGTAATCTTGTAGCTTAAATGTTTGTTTGTCTGTTAAATGAGTTTCAGTAATCAGAGCTATGTTTATGTCATGTTCTTTTAAACAAATTTCCAGTTCGTTTTTTCGTTGGAGCAGACCATTGGAGTTCCATAGGAGTATTTTTAGAGAAGGTGATTTCGAATTAGTCATTGGAAGGATTAGAAATGAAAGTAGAAACTAGTTTAGTTAGAAGTTCTAAAATAGGGGATAAAAGGGATTTAAGTTCAGTTAGAAGAGGTTCCATAGAAGATTTTATAGCTGAAGAAATATCAAAAGTTGAAGTAGAAGGTTGGATAGAAGCTGTAGAAGGATATCTCCCTGTTACCTTAGCACAGGAGACCCCTGCCACGGTAGACGGTTTATCACTACTCTGCGGTGTTAGATCTTTCTCTTCTAATTTTTGAACTGATTTAACGTGTTCTTCATTTGTTTCTATTGATATTAATTTAGCTGTTGAAGGGTCCATTATATTTGGAGTCTGTGAAGGGAGGGGATCTATCTCTAATCCTGATCTAGAGGTTATATGGTTGACAAATGGTTTGTTTTTTAGATATATTAGTTTTTTGAATGTAGCGCATCCTTTGTAATTGGCTGGGTGAGCACCTTCGCAGTTAGCACAAGTGGCGGGCGTTTCTCTAGTTTTTGTACAGTTTGCTGTAAGGTGTGGTCCAGCGCACTTAACACATTTGGCGGGAAGACTACAGTACCCTTTTGTATGGCCATAGGTTTGACATCTTTGACACTGTGGTGGTTCCTTTCTTAAGTATGGTTCCTCTACTTTTATTCTAGTATATAATAAAAATTCTAGATTAAAAATTTCTTGATTAGTTGGACTTTGTTCCAAATCTATAAAAAATATCGGTAGCGGTACTTTTGTTTTGGGATGTTTTGCGTTACTAATATTTTTTACTCTGTATCCTAGTTCTTCGAGTTCGAATTTGATATCTTCAATTTCTGTAGTGTGATGAAGATTTCGAATGACAACACGAAATGGTTTTTCATTCTGTAATTGATATGTGTAAAATGTTGCATTTTGTGCTTTTAATAGTTTTATTATTTTTCGATAATCATCTGGAGTAGATGGAAATATTTTTGTCTCATTTGTGTTAGAAAGACAATAAAACCCGCGAGGTCCGACTTCTGTTGATAAATTTTGACATAATTCTTTGAAGTTTTTAACTGATTTTAAATTTATAGAGGGGGGTTTAGGAATATTCTTGGTTGACAATTTGTCCTGAGTGTTAGACGACATAGGAACGGGTTGAGGTGCGATTTCTTTGGTTGAAGTAGCATTTGTTTGTTTAAGTAATTCGTT